AAATGACAAGAATTTATTATTTCCTATTTCTTTTAAAGGGAAGACATTTTTTTCTATATATGCTGTACTTCTGAAATAAATTTACTGTGTACTATTAACAGATCTTGCTGTTATGTGACAGACTCCAAAAGCTTTTGCTTTCTTATAAAAATAAGAGTTTACTTTTCATGATAACTTCATTTTTAAACAAAGCCACAGTTATTGTTTGATATGACTTTTCCTCCTCCACCTTATGTGAAGTACATGAAATGGGAAGCTGACCCCTGCCATTTTTTTCTACTCCCTTAGGAAGATAACAAGGATCTTGAGAGAGGCCAAAGGCATAAATGAATGGTGAAGGCCTCATCTCTGAATATGTAAGGCTTTATAAACTTGGGCAAGGAACCTGTTGCCAGGGGAAGGGGAACACCCCACACTCCAAATCTGTTTGATATGCAATTCTGAGGTTCCCACTGAAAAGTAAAAGGTAAGAAAAATGATAGTATTGAAGATTAATTGGTGCATTGGTCCAAAAGACTGAATAGAAGGTCTGCTTAAGAACAAGGTGAAGAATTATGAAATTTAGCCTTCAATCATTAGACCAAACAGTAAGGTACAGGAGAATGTCTGGCTGGATGCCACTCTTATGACCTAAGCTTCAACATAACAGGAGTATTAACTGATTATTTAGAACTAGGGTGCAGAACTTGTCAAGCAGCACTCTCTCTAACATAGCTCTTAGATCTTTTGTTAACAGAAGAAAGAACATATCAAAGCAAAAATAATTGTGTATGTTACTCAAAGAGATACAGGGAACTGTAATGGACAGATAAACAAAAGAATCATTGGTTGGATGAATAGATAACATATATGACTGTAAGTAGTCCTGGGACAGCTACAGTTCAAAAGTTTTAATTTGGTAGTCTTTATGTCAAATGTGATACCTTCCAACTCACAAGAGGAGAATTTTCTTTCCATCGCACAGTAAAAATACAAGCTGAAAAGATTTGCTGAAAAATGTTTAACCAAATAAAAGCATCTTCAGAAGGCCACGTTTCAAATGAAAGATGAAGGAAAAGTTGCATGGATGGTAAATGTATTTATTTCTCCCTTTGAAAAAGTATTTACACTTTTATTACTCTCTTGGATTATTCTGACACAATAACAGTAAATAAAATCTGTCCAATAAGAGTTTTCAGCCACATTAACTGCTATTTTGGATTAGTTCATAAATACCTTTGAGAGCCATCTGATCTACACAGGAGAAGATACTTGCAGGTAACAGGAGTTTTTTCTGATGTGATATCCATAAGCATAGTTTCACTCGGAATGTGCTATGTACCTCAAGCATTGCAGCTCACAGACTTTTCTGCCTTATCTTTATCCACATAGTACACTTCATAACCACCTCCTCATGCATAGTGCTAAACATGTAAAGAGGACTGCACACTTCTTGCTACTCAGTTGCTTCAGGCAGGGGTGGGCAACATTTAGAAAATTTATATTTATCTGCCCCTGGCTGCCTGTCATGCGGCCCTCGATGTCTTGCCAAAACTCAGTAAGCGGCCCTCTGCCTGAAATAATTGCTCGCCCCTGCTTCAGAGGGATATGGAATATAAATAGAATACCCCTCAGAAGAAAAATTATTCTACCAGCAGATGTAGTTCTCTCTCCTTTGAAGACTTGTTCACATGTGCACTCTCACTGTGGGCAACTCCAAGCACACTGCCTAGGATTTAGAAACCCACTTCCTGGCAAGCAGCAGCCGCAGCATTAGCCTCAAAGACTTCCACAACAGTAAAGGTGTGTACAGTGCTGCGTGTGGCTGCCCTGCAGAAGATGCCCAATTCTGGTGGAGTAAACTCTGACAACTAAAAGTGAGTCCATCCTAGTGCTCTCATAGCTCATTCGAACCCTTAATCTGATCAGATTCTCAGATGAGGCCTGTGGGGAGGGGGAGAAAGCACCTTTGGTCATCTTGCTTAAAAAGGCAAATAGCTAAAGAGGCTTCCTGAAAGGCTTAGTCCTATACTAGTACAGGGACAAAGCTCTCCATGTCAAGTGCTTATAGTGCCTCAAACTCTAGGGGAGGAAGGCTCTAGGAAAATACATCAGCAGCTTGATTTGTTGGCCCAGATAAAACTTACTGGCAAACTTAGGTAAGGAATTTTGGACAAATCACAGCTCTGTGACAATTAATGTTGCCACCTCTATCCTGCCACCAAACTTCAGGAGCCATGGGGAGCCTCATGGGTTGGATGACATGATCTCATGAGCCAGATCACACCACACCAACATGTGGGGTCAATCTGCAGCCAGCTCCAGCATGCAAGTCTGAACCAGTGCGCTGGATTGCACCAGTAGACCTTCCCCACATGCCACCCCACACTAGATAAGGCTTGCATACAAGCCCCATGCCACTTACCTGGCCCATGGGGCTGGACAGGTTGAACACCACTGACATAAAGGATGGTTATTGATTTCCCACTCATGGATCAGGGCTGCATGCACGCCAAGTCTGTCCATTGATGTTCTGGAGCCCTGGAAGATGCACCATTAAAAAAGGTGCATCTTAGGGCTGACAACTTTTCCTCACACGTCCCTTTTCAGCTGATATCAAACTGACTATACTGTCCATCATAGCTTGCATGCAAGGTAAGAATACTGGTCATGCTCTCCATACTGCTCCCAAATCCAGAGCATTCAGATTAAAACTTTGCCGCTGACAGGCAAAAGAACTCTTTTCCTTGAAGGCAACTGACACATTCTCCACCCTTGCCACAGTGGTTACTAACTACTTAGAGGAGAGGAATAGGGCTTCCTTGCATACATTGGATAGGGCAGATCTGATCAGCAGATAATTTACCTTCATAGCCAGGGAATATCTTCCTAAGAAATGTACTGACCATAACCATGACTGCATGTCTCATATACAGGATCACAAAGATACAAGAGACCACGTGGCCTAGAATGGACACAGTAATCCTCACCAGTGTTGTTCGGCGAAGCTGCAATGTAGAGTAGGGTAAAGCCTGGAACAGGCCCAACAGCAGACGAACTCTGGCCAGAAGGAAGCTCAGGGTAGCTCCTATGAACTCCAGTCCCTGAACAGGCAATAGGGTTGGTTTCTATATGGTCTCTACGAGACTCAGTGCTTGAAGCAGACACCTAGACCTATTGTGTCGTAAACTGCTTGGACATGAGGCACATTGCAATTTATGGCACAATTAACATGTAAGCTGTGCCATAAATGCAATGCCTGCCACGGGTCTAAAATGCAGTTGCTGAACAGTCCCAGACACTGGAGTCATAGGCATATGAGAATAACTGAAGTTTTCAGACCTCATGGTCTGTGAAAATATGAACCAAATAAACCTTAAAGGGCGGCCAATAAAAATAACCTGTTTAAAGTCTTATGATTTTAAGTCATGATTTCTGTGGTCCACTGAATGTTTGGGGTTGTCAATATTGCAATCTCTTAACAGTTCTGAATACTTTTATTTTACACTGTGTTTAATTCAAATAAGTCAATATTAAATTAAGATGTGAGACGTACAAAATTAAAATTACAGAATATTTATCCACATTTTAGGATGTCAGTCCCAGAGATATTTCAATTTTAAGACTGTAAGCTGAAATGCCTAGAGGCTAGTCATATGCATAAACTAAACCTAATTGTACCAACTACAGAGTTTGTCTTAAAGGGTTTTTGTGTTTGAAATACTGAGAGAGGCTCCAGTAGCATTTAAATCTGGCTATATTTAATGTTTTGATTTGCGAAGAGAATGTAATGATTTATTTAAATTAGGCAGTAATTTTATCCATGCTTGAAATAAATTGAAGCTATTGTATGTTGCAATACTAGAAAGGAGACAAGAAATTTGCATGCAATCTACATCTTGAAGCATAAATATTTTCTCTATCTTACCAGTGTTCTGGTGTTTTATCATATGGAAAACATCATATTTTCTCTATCTTACCAATTCTGGTGTTTTATCATATGGAACAGGACTTGCTAAAATCTAAATCTGAACTGATAATATTTTGCATTTTACAGTCCTCTATAAAAATACCATCTATTAAGAATATACTATACTAAAACTCCAGCAATCCTCATCTCTAAACTCTCATCTCACTTTTCTATGCATCACTAGCTAACAGTAACAATTTGTGGAAGAAATTCACTTTTATTTATATAGAAATTTTAATGCGACTACATCATTCCTAATAGTGATAGATGTACGTATACAAGTTGTCCCAAAGTTGTCTCTAAGTTTACACAGATATTTTCTGTTTGAACATTATTTTTAAAAGTTCACACTTTACAGGGCTGCCCATTTCAGCTAGTCACAGTCAGACTTTTTGATACACAAAGTATAAGAATTAAGGAAAAAGGCTAGTGCCCACACAGGATTCCTCTGTGGCTTCTTACATTATGCTATCATCGTAATAAACAAGCACCTCTTGAAGGGGAGAAAGCAAGACTGTAACGTCACCCATTTCTGCAAGCTAGCCATCTGAATTGGGCTTTTCAGGCGTGTTGGAAAGGTTCTGAATATGAAGTCAGAGGCTGTAGTATATGGTGCCTGTTATGATATCCATGCTCTCTTTAAAATAATCCTTTTATCATGTATGGGTATGAAATTTTAGAAACCCTGAAACATGCAAATTGTTCAAGATATTTTTTCCTCTTAAAGAATTATCCAGGGTAGAGTCATATGCACTTTACTAATTTAGAAGGATAAATCTGTAGATGAGTCAAAACTTTTATATATAGTACATTTTCTACTACAGCATTTGTAGGTTTGCTTGTTTTTTTTTTTAAATCTATGTGTCCTATTTAAGTGGTTTATTTTATTTCCATCATCACAGTGCAGAGTACACACAAGCATATGGTTCATATTTTTCTTACCTGCCACTCTACAGCAAAGCAGTAGGCTGCATCATGGGAGCCAATGCTTAAATTGTAAAGTGTAGTTTATCCTCATTTAACATCTGGTAGCAGCAGAGGAAAAAAACAAGGTTTTACAGCAATAAACCCCTAGAATACATACCTGTTAATGAGTATACCCTCATGTTCACAATCCTTTTCAGTCCATTTTTTTTAATTTAAAGGCTTCAACTTTTGAAGTTTCTTTTTTGTTTTTGAAGGTTGGTTATTTTTAATAACATGGTCAATTTTTCTTTTCTAGCTAGGACTTCTTGCAGTACTGGCCTTAATAGTTTATGCACACAATTTTTCATACTCTAAACACCACTTAAGTGATGGAAATAAACCAGTTTAATAGGTCTCATGTAAGCATAAATAAAGTCCTTATCAGCCTGATTTTTCTATGAGTCTACCAAAAACTAAAGAGGAAAAACTTTGTTATTAGATGCACAAGATGAGGAGATAGGTTTCTAATCGGTAATCTATCCTGTTCGTACTGAAAAATTGACACCCTTAAATCAACCCTAGTGGGCTGCACCAGGCAGTAGCAGAGAAGGGAAAAGATCAAGTTACTGTTTTGTTTCCTCTTGGGCAATAATTTCAAATAGTATCTGGAAAAGAGCTTCTAAAATACCTAGATTCAAGGTCATGGGAACAGAAATATTTATGCATTTTTACAGGACTTACCATAACATGGGCCTGACCATGGCTCTTAAGAGAATTCCTAAATATGGTAAAGACACAATAGTACACCACTGCATTGACCATGGATGTTTTGCAACTTAATTAAAAAGTGTTGGGAAAAAAAAGTTTCAGCCCCAGTAAAATGCCCAGGTTTAAAGCCCTTACTCGCATCATTAAGTTCTTATCCAGAGTCCAACTTATTTCAAATAGGATACCTCATCAATAAGTGCTCATTAAACTAAAAGGTGGTTCATTTAAACAATAATAAGTTCAGTTTGATGCTCAAGAGGCAACAAAGAAATGGTGGGAGGGTGAATTTTACCATATGTGTTCCTTGTCCTCAGCCACTTAAGGCCCTAATCCAGCTCTCAAATTTGTGTTTATGATTATACAGGAACATTTTCTATTCTGTAGCACACTTTTCAGTAAGAATCCTATAACTGCTTGTAAAGACAAGAGGGAATTGTTTCTTTCTGTGAAAAAGTAGTTAAGGGCCAAAAGATGAATGCATGTTATTCCTAACAGACGTATGCAATTTTTTATAGAAAATACTACAACCTGCTCAAGAATAGTTCTCTCGCAGTGAAAAACCCATTGCTCCCTAAACAACCCAGCTGAAGCAACTAGATAAAACCACCAAAGTGAAAGTGAATGAATTTACCCTCTTTTCACCACCCCTTCAAGTAAAATGATCTTGTTCATTATGAACTGTAGGCAGTTTGCCTCTAAAAAACACTTGGCCACCTATTTAAGTATAGCTTGCTTAATAATTGTTTTCCAACTATTTAAGTTGGTCTAATAAAAGATCTCAGATTCACCCAAAGAACCTTGTCTGCCTATATTCTGATGGGCACTTTAAGAAGCTTGGCTTGGATCTCTTGGAAAGGGAAGAATTATGCACATGAGTATGGATGGCCTGGGAACCTTGCTATCTTAAAGTCACACTGATTAAGGCAAGTCCAATGTCCCACTATTGCAGGGTTTTTGTATTAGTATTTTTATAAACCAAACCCCCCACCCCCTGCCAAGCCAAAGGCTGAATAATTACTTTAAGACCATTTTTAAGATCATACTTTCTTAAGCATTTAGAATCATTCTTTTTGATATTATACCCACTTTTTTTTTGCTTACCTAAGGCTAATTCTTCTATCTATATTAATTAAAATTCCAGTGAGGATTATAAAAACCTGTAAATTAAAATTGTGAATTCTCTCTCTCATTGTGAAAATTTTTTTAAAAAATGTATTTTATGGATTTAAAAAACTTAACATTTCATTCACGATGCAAGGATATTACATAAGGCAGGTTTCCATCCTACACTACTCACTAGTTTGCTGCTGTCAGAGGATATACAAAGCAGACTGCATTGTGAAAAATGAAAAACAAAAGTTCCAGATGCTAACAAGTTTCACTTTGCTGCTGGGCATGAACACGCCTTCTTGCAAGTCATAAAAGAAATAGGAAAACTTCTAAAAACAATACAGACTGCTTACTAAAGAAAGTTGCCAAAAAAGCTCTTTAAATTCCATTCACCCAGTCCAATTTCCAGCATCTTTACAATTTCTGCACAGAAATCTGGGAGAAGAGAGTTGTTTAATACATAAGAAGGTTAAGGATAATTTAAATTTCTGGTAACTTGTTTTATATGATCATTCCTGCCTCCCCACAAACTTTTTTTATTTTTAGATATTACATCTTCATGTTAGTTGCTAAAGTTATTCAGGTCAGTACATTATTTTACAAAGTAAGATGTGACATTAACACTCAAGCATGCATGCATAGATAGTAAAACCTTACCTGTCTTCATCTTTGTTGGACCCAGATAAATGTCTGTTGCAATCTTCAAACTCATCCCAGAACGTGCTATCATCTAATATATTTTTTCTTTCTTGAACAGTTACATTTTTTATTAGATCACTTTTTGTTTTCTTCTGAGCACCTTCATAGTCCTTTGGGTCAAAGAATATACTGGAATTCATTTTTTCTTTGCCATTTCGGAAGGCACAATCTCCACTGCCTTGCTGGACTTCAACAATCTCACTCCGCCTTCTAGTACTACTTTTCTCCTCATCATCACTTGTAACTAGCAGCTTCTTTCTATCCAACTGGTTAGTAGCATTCTGTTTTCTAACTTTAGGCCTCACAACTAGCTCAGGTGAATTTCCTCGTTCAGTCTTGCCATCATTGGCATTTGATTCATTACAAGTTCCTACAGGGGTTCTGATTACAACATCTGCTACATTTTTTCTTTGTTGTGTTTCAAAACTAGCACTACTTAAGTTATTTTTTAGGGCAGCTTCATCTGCAGATGATTTTTCAAGTGTCCTATTGTTTTGATGGGCAAGGTCTGAATCTATGCTAGAACACCTCATAAAAGGCACTGATTCTAGTTCTACCAAACCTTCTCTAGATGCATTCTGGTTAAAAGTAGACAATCGTGACTGCAGACCATCCAAGGACTCTACCCCTTTCTCTAACTCAGAAATCATGTTATCAAGACTTTCTTGAAGTGTTTCCGCTTCCTCTTTTGTCAAAGAAACACCAACTTGATCATCATCATCTTCTCCATCACTGCTATCTGGCTCATAAGAGTCAATATTTACAAAAGCAATTCCATTTTGACCATTCAGATCATTACTCTCTCCAGAAACAGAATCTGAACAATCCTCAGGCTTTTCATCAGAATTTACACTGCTTCCTGAGGTTTGGTCTTCTTCCACATTGTAACAAAATGGAGAAAATGGCAAGTCATTTGTTGCAATAGTTTGGCTCAATATAGTTCGACAAACAGGAACTTCAGATCCAGCACTTTCTATCAAAGGTTCATCTGATAAAGCAGAACAAACTGGAACCAACGGACTGGAACCTTCATAAAAAATTGCGAAAAAGAATATATTGAAGTGATTGAATCTGCATTTACATATTCTTTTTAACAATGCTCATGAACAAGCTGGCAATTAACTGGAGTAACGGTGCAACTAGATGATCAGACAATTATCACAGGCATTCATTATCAGCTAGTACATTAATAGTTCCACCTTTTAAAACTGAGCCCAAAGATGGCAATGAGATTTTTTTCCCCCAATAAATATTATATTAGACTACCCATATACTAACTGGATAAATAGCACTTATTGCCATGGTTTAGAAAAGACTACATATGGCATTTTATAACAGAATAGCTTGTACCTGCAATATACAATGTAACTCTTGACTTATAAAGAAAAAATTAATAAGGAAAACAAATGCAGAAGCTCCACTTGGCAACAGTAAGTCCCACCCAATTAGGTTTGATGGACTCTTCTGAAAGTAACATGACAATGAATATCAAGACAATTTTCAGACTCTGAAAACTGGCTGGAAAAATTTTAAATAAAGAAAATTATTATATAGAATTAGCTTTGAAGTTAAAGCTGGCTATAAAACTTCAAAAGCACGCACATTTCTGTATGACCTTGATAAATGCACATGCAAACTGGAGTTTGAACATGCAGTCCTCAACTTGCACAGACAGCCTTTGATTCATGCGCTTAAATTTAACTGCTGTTAAAGGCACAGAAAGCTTTATGTATATGAGATACAATGGTTTCAGATAGAAAATAATAAGATAAGCATGGTTGAACAGAAATGTAGCAGAGAATATATGTGCTTAAAGAAGAGCTAGGAGTGAGAAGTCCTGCACAACAGGGACAGATGCAGGGGGAAAGAGAAATTTGGCTAAATGAATGTTAATGTTAAAAAGCAAAGAATTCAAATATATTTGTAGTGAGGAAACTGCTTAAGAAACATCTGACTTGCACAGAGGCTAATTTTGAACCTGTATTTCCTTGTATTAGAAGTGGCCACTACCTATGATGGTTCACAATCTTTTTAGATCCAAAGCACCCCTCCATAACTTCTCTGAATCTAGCATCACTGCAATGTAGAATCACTGCTGAACTGCCCCAGCTTACCTCAGTGGTTCTCAGCTGGGGCCCTGCTGCCACCACTGTCAAATGAAAACTTCCCCATGTACCTCATGTGGAACCAGATCAAAGAGCAACTGCAGCAGGAGTCCAGCTAGACTCTGCACAACATGAGTAGGACAGTTTTACTTGGCTGCAGCTCCCAGGCCACAGAACCCCTAAAAAAGGGTCTCATGGCATATTGGGGTGCCAAAGCAACCCAGCTAAGACATCACGTGGCAGCTCAATATTTGGATTTAAAATGAACTTATTAGGCTTATCTGAACAGTTACTGCATGCCAGAAATGAGTTAAGTGATAGCACTCATTTCTAAAACAGAAGGCTGCAGACTGATATTTCCCACATGAGGATTATGTATGCTACCAGTGGAGTACTAGGCATTCACTGTAATGTTAGAGGAGGCTCTTTACCTAACATTAAACTGAAGTCCTTTCAATCCATGTTGTGGCTGTTCAGACAGACAAGGATACCACGGAAGTAGCAGGGAATGCCTTCCAATGTTTTGGTCAGGTTTTTCTCAATATAAAATGGGAATTAATTTACAAATATGCAAGCTAGGACATCTGGGAAAAAATATACCAAAAACACAAATATTTGATGAATGAGAGAAAACTGGAAAATAGTCATGGCAAAAAAGGTAGAGATAATATGACGCAACATTATTAGATACAAGTTGGCAAGGAAACAGTATTAAGAAGAAAAAATATTCAAAAGATTTCATGGCTGTATAAGAAGAGGAATAAGCATGGACGATGATGGTATATATTCCCTAATTATATATTTCTTGTAAAAACCTTAACAGGGAAATACCTAGAATTGTACTATAAAAAAAAAAAAAAAACAGTGACAAAACTAGACGTATTTGAGGGGATAAACTGAAAAAAACCAAAGATAGTCAGGGTCTAGCCCTCACTTGAGGCATACACTAGCTAACAATGCAAATGAGGTAAATATTTGAACATAACTGAGCACTAACTTTTGCAAGATGTAAACAAAGAAAACTAATGGAATAGCTCAGCATAATAAAAACCTTCAAGAATAACAGAAGGAAATTTAGTGTCAACTGACAGCTAGGGAGAACATAAAGAAAAGCTTCCAAAAATGAAAACTTTTAGCTGGTCAAATAATTTCCCAAGGGAAGAAACAGAACATACTAGATGGAATTTAAAAAACTAGACTGTTAAAAAAATCCCACTAGCAGATGCATAACAGGTACCAATCTTACACCTGCAAGGAAATAAACTATATGTATTATCTAATAAGTCATTTTGAATTTCTACATGGAGTTATTTTAACTGCACTCTAACTTTGTAAACAACTAATGAAATTGAAAAAAAAACCCACCTAGGAAAATTGAATAATCATGATGCTATGGAATTAAGTTCCATCTGTATTTCAGTTTTATTTAGTCTTTAAATATTCACATGTGGTTAAATTAATTCCAGATATAGCTCCACCGAGGTAGATGGAGTTGCATCACAGAAAAATGTGTTGTTCAGTGGTATGTAAAATATTTTGTCATCTGGTTGCATTATGAGAAAACATAAACACAAGGTACTTTCTTTCCAAGTGGAAATTATGCAAGAGTTTGCAGCTGGTAAGCCATGGCAAGATATTTATCATAATATATTTACGATTCAAATTATAATATTTAGCTAGATTTTATAAAACTAATTCAGTGTAGTCCAACTTTATTCTATGATGTGAATTTAAACATTTTAAGAGACAAACTAGTTTTAATTAAACTGTTTGAATTAAATATAGTTGAGTTTCTTGCTGTGAAAGACGGGAAATATGGTGTGTTCATATAATTTAACATATTTTGTATATTCCCACCTCCCTCTTCTCCCACAGAAAGCGTCTCAGTTAGGAATTACATGGCACGCACATAAAGACTCCTGCCTCGGAACATCATCTAATTCTAATCCTTCACATTCTTCACTGTGCTGGTTCACATTTCTGTCTTGATTGGTCAAAGATGGTCTAAAACTGACATAAGCATGTCTTCTTCCGTATCTTCTGCCTGTAATAGTCTGATATCCTCCTGCTGGTTTAGGCCAAGCAGGTTTACAAGCCTCTTGACCCATTGCTGTAAGAGGAAAATAAAAACAAAACAGAAACAATTAGATTAAATAGAAGTGAAGGGAAAACAAATCCTTGCGAGTTTCTATTTTTATCACCATTTTTATAAGCCAGAACTGTTTTTTTCATAGAACTGGTTTCCCCTAAATTTCCCATTTTTCCTCATTAAGGACTCATGTTCCATAGATAAAAACCCTAGGCCTGCAAAGAATTAGCTCTACTGTAATTTATAGCGCAGTCCAGTTGAAAACAGGAATTTGACACACAAATTTGCTGTATTCCTGATCCCTATCGTTCTTCATATCTTTCATGTCTCTGAATGACGAGGCCATGAATCATTATTGTAAGCCTCTAAAAGTCAGACTTCAGTTATTTGACAAAATTGTCCAAAGCACTATTAAATTAAGCCCCATTTTTTCACAACAGTCTAAGCACATTAGACTCTTTCAGATCTGCATACTTTCACGTACTACACTCTGAGTTCAAAAGTTACACTGGCCCACCAGCCGCAAGGAAAGAAAAGATGCTGCCAATAAACATAATGACAATTTTGTCTTAAATACACACTATGAAAAAGAATGCAAGGACACCTGCACTTTGAATGTGGCATTTCTTAAACAGTACTGAATTAAAAAAAATGCTGCTTCACAGAACCACTTTCAAAAAGAAAGCGATTTTTATCTGAACTGATAAGACAAAACACAGCAGAAAGTTACAAAACCCTGCATACTCCACTCTACCAGGTCAGAAGACTGGCATTTATCCATAAATTTCTATTAACATATTCCCTGATTTCTACAATTTGCAGTCTCCCAATCCCCATAACTTTATGTGCAGAATTAAAATATAGAGCAAGGAGAACATTTTACTCTTCTTCCTTGAAAGCCATGCATTGATGCTAACAGGTCTGATATCTGGCACAAACATCTGTTTGTGATTAATCTCATTAACGGTGGTATTCACCCTTTCCATCCCATAGGATGGAGGAGTGATGTGGGGTCAGTCTGCCAGCCTGATCCGCTGTGGGGTTGGCACATACTGGACCCTGCTAAGCATGACCCTGAGTGGAAGCCCAATCCATGAACTAGAATTGGCTCTGATGCAAGCCCGCATGCTGGCTCAATCTGGCACATGGGGCCATGTTATCTGGACTATGGGACACCCCGTGAGTCCAGAGATTTGGTGGCAGCATTAATTACCACAGCTCTGGGAGTAATTAATCCCAATACTGCTCCCCTGTCACCAAATTTTTGGACCCATGTTGAGCCCCACAGGTCAGATGGCTCTGAGAGCAGGAGGTTGAGCACCACTGCTATACAAGTTAAACCTAAGAGCAATATCACAGGAGTTAACTGGCCCTAGTTCATCTTTCTCCTGGATGGAAAAAAGAGCATTAGTCAAACCACATCTCCTAGAACAAACATTCCAGGTCATAAGGGATAGTGATGGATTCTTTACATTAGGTAACTTCATTAAGTGTAGCCATGCAAGATAATAACCCATGTGGGATCTTAACACTCTAATAAAACTTATACTAAATGAATCGTTCTGCTTTTACTAAGAGGGTAGAGTAAAAGCTTTAAGACTACCTGAAATAGTACATAAAATATCCTGATCTATTATATAGCAGGATTTCTAGTGCAAAACGAATTTCAGTTTCGAACAACCCAATAGAAAAGTGCTCTCATGTCCAATACCAAGGACATATGTTAATACAATTAAAATTCACTTCAATTGTTAAACTGCTTTTCAGCACTCCAATTACATAATATTTTATTCTTCAACTCGGAAGATCACTTTTTACACTCTTTGGATATACAATTAATTATTTTTTTGCTCTTGAAAGCCACCAAAAAGGTGGATGGAGAATTAAGTGCGTGTCTTGGAGCCCATGCTTTTCTTTAAGTAAAAGTTCTATTTTTCTTGGTTATTCCAGGAATTCTTTCATCAAGAATCATTCAGGTTTCAGTAAAGTCAAGCAGGATCAAGTTGTTTGTTTATACTGATGGCAGGGTGTTTCTTTACGTGCGCTTGTGCATTTTATCTATGTAATGTCAATACCTACATTACATCAACTGCCAGGAATAGTGCAGCTGCACAGGTGGCTTTTACATTCTGGCATGAAAACCTGAAGCACTGCTCAAATGCATACTAAATTTGCTGGTGATGACACACCTACAGAAGGCTATTTTCTGTGTTAAGCTGGATGCTGCTAAAGGCTGTTCTTGGAATCATAAAAACGGTTCCCCTGACCCTAGACCAGGGGGCACTCCAGAACTGTGGTTATTTGAAAGCATAATTTGGCTGTAGAAGTCAGCTATTTTACTCAAAGTTCTGTGGAATCAGGTGCTTATTTTCGGTACCAAAAGCCAATCTATAAAATTTCTTGTCTGGTGGATATTAAGAAAGATGTGTGTAAGCCACACATTAATGGACTGTTTTTCACATAAGTTTTAAGAACTGCATTATAGGCTGCTGGCAGATGTTATAATTAAGACAAGATTGACCTGTTAACTGTGCCATAAATAATAATATTGCCACATGTTCAAGGACTTAATGGTGGGACAAAAGGGGAAACAAGCCACAAAAATATTCCACAAAACTTGTAACATTTTTGTGGCTGATTTCCATTGTGCCTTAAATTAAGTATGTGACAGAAAACAGCTGGCTTAATAGGTAATAATTCCTGTCTGTATATCACGTCCACCACCATATTGTTTAAACAATATCTTTCATAGCTGTTCTGCTAATCAAATTAAAAGTTTCTCTGTGCTGAATTGTGCCAAACAATTTATATTAGTAGAGGATGAGAGTACTTCCACTTTTAACTGAACTGATGGCACAAGGGGAAAAATTCTATCCAAATATAAAATATATCTAAAAAACTAAGAGCCAGATACACAAAATAACCTATGTAGGATGTTTGGACCTAAACATTCACTTACATTTTGGTCAGAGCTCTCCACAAGCCAAAAGTTCTGCTTCTGTACAGAAAGATCCTTGGTCTCAACCAGGCTGAACAGACTGGACTTAGGGGTGAACAAAATTCCAACCAGGATCATCAAATCAGGAGTCTCTTTGACTCCCTCCCTGACAAGGAGGGTCAGGGTCTAACCTTGTCAGCACACTTAACTTTTACATGGAACATCACTGGATATAGTCGTTGAACAGGTACCAGACCCCAGGACTTCTACCTGAGTCAGCGTCCTTCTGATCACTGGACTGTGGCTAATTGCTTCCTCCTTCTGGCCCAATGAATCTTAAAATGCTTTCTGCAAAGTGACACCGTTTCAAACAGCCCATTCTGCTGAACAGGCTATAAGGCCATAACTTTGTATGTTTGAACAATTGAGTTTTGCTCAACCAAAAGGATTCAGAACCGATTTGGTTAATTTGACCTGGAATACGAAAACATTTCCAAAAGAAAAGGAGATGAGAGATAACAGACCTGATTATCCCCCTATCAGCCCTATTGTCGCTCTGCAAGTTTGTGTACACAGCCAAGTCCTTACCCTTCTCTAAAAGTCTAAATTTTTAAGAAGTTAAACAAATAAAGGCTATCCAACAACAAGAATGCACTTTCTGTAGATTAAATTGAGGCTTCCTGACTAGCGATTTAAAAAATGATTTCAATCATGATTTAAATCGATTTGATTTAAAATCAAATGCACCCAGATCCATGCTCTCACATCAATTAACTCACCTGTGTACTAGAAGAAAAAAAAAAGAAGAAAAGTTGGGTGTGAGAGAGTAAAGTATACAGTGCACACTTCTAATGTGATCCAAGTAGTTGATCTAAGAAGAGAGTATCAGATTTACCCAAAGAACCTTGTCTGTCTATGTCTTTAGCCCAAGATGGCTACAACACATACCCTTGAACTAATAGAAGACACTAATAACCTAGATGCAGTTTTTCAATGGGAACACTGATTGCAGAAGCCTCTTTTACAGGTGCCAGGTTTTTTTCTTTTGTTATCCTTAGGCAAGCTCTTGAGGGACAGTGAACCAGGATCATCCTACTTTAAAGTCTGGGAACTGCCTAGTACATACAAGTAACTGTAAAAATAATAACATTGGAAAATATAGATTTGGGAGTAGTGACATTAAGAAGGCTGGCTAATCTTGCTCCAGGAAACAAGTATGTAACAGATGATATCCTGATCACTGAATCCATCAACAAGTCCTGGTAACTCACTGGACCTGCCAAGATCTATTCATTTCTCTCAGTAAATACTGGCCATATTGAGTCAATGTTATACAGGCTGTACTACCTTTTTAGTTTACAGAGCTTAATTAGATGCCAGAGCAGTGAGAAGCTATCCCATTTACTCATTTGCTAATGCAATTCTTTTTACACTGTAGAGCCTGGTCTGCAAGTGCTCAGCAGATTCCCACCCTGGCCCCCCCAAAACAGTAGAGGGACAATTAAAAAAAAAAAGCAAAAGCTTACATTAAGACAGCTCTCCGAGAGAGAAGTTTTCAAGGATAGAAAGCATTTCCCACTGTAACAGTTACAGTCAGATTGTCAGAAGGGATTAGGACATTTGCCCCAATTATGGTAAATCTTGAAAACCTATCCTTCTGGTCCTAGCACTTTCTCCAATCCAGGGTTTTGTTTTGTTGTGTTTTAATACATCAACCAATGGTGCTTACATGACTTCCACTGCAAGGCTTTTGCCTACCTTTTCTCTTATCTTATTATCACCATGTTAAGTCTAACCCACTTATTGCCTAGCTAGCATGTTTCTGAATAGGGGTGTAAATAGGGTTTAAAAAAATATTTGTTTAACCTCCTCTAATTATATCAGTTAAATGATTAACTGATAACACAGCAGCTCAGACAACCGCTGCTGGGATCCACTCCTGCCTCCCCAAGCCCTCTGACTAGGGGGGAGGTAGGGAAGAGGCAAGCTCAGGCAGACAACACAGCCCATGTGAAGCCCTCTGCTGGCAGGGCAGAGCAGCTAATTACATAACTGATGAGTCATTAGGCTGCTCCTGTTTTCC